ACGTGGGGTCACAGGAGTTAGTGGTGACATCCCGTCCTGTTGTACGTGGGGTCACAGGAGTTAGTTGTGACATCCCGTTCTGGTGTACGTGGGGTCACAGGTGTTAGTTGGAGCCAATAACAATAACAACCATGTCAAAACACTCAACTGGTTTTTGAAATAGAAAGAAAGGTACTTGTTTAGTTTGTGTATGTTTTCCTTCTATTGGAAAACTAGCTCATTGTAAACAATTCAAGTATATCCTTGGGGTTTTGTGTCCAAGGTCGGACCTTTGTCTACGAAGACAAATTTTTCTAAAAAAAAATGGGGGAAATATTTACAAACTTTTCTTTGCACTGACGTTGCCAAAGTGGTAAGGATCATGTAAACATCTAATGGGCTCCAGAGATGGTGTAAGTGAAACTGTAAGAGTTAACAAGGTAAATAAGATCCTCCTAGTCTTTTACTACACCAAAACCACACCCTAACTAGTGTCACAAGATGCCAGCAGGAATACATAAATCTCCGTGATCAGCAAAAAGGGACCAAGTTTTTAGAAAGGCAGGGAATGAAAGTACTTCTGCCACCCTTTGCCAGTGCAAGAGCAGAAGGCATGAGTCTGCAGGGAGCCAGGAGAGCGGCCAGGTGAGGCCACTCATTATGACGACAATGACCCTGCCCATCATCCAAGGGGCAGCCTTCCAGAGTCCTGAGGTCAGTGAAGAAGGTGGCTGTCACGGTGCCAGAAGCATTTGATCCATACACTTTTGTTTGGGTTGGAGGTTGAGGGGTAGGATGTCTAGACATCCACTCTCCAAGGCCTGGCCTTCAGGATGAACAACGAGGTTGAGTGTGTTGCTGCAGCCCTAACAGCTCATTCACGGTGATTCACGATGAACACCCAGACTTACCGTTCCCACTGCACACTGCCTGCCACAGCCTGAGAACAGACACACAGACGGTCTCTTCCACTGCACCTTTTTCTGCTGTGGAAAAGCACCTGGAGCAGAGAAGAGACGCAATGTTAACTCTGGAAATCAGCTTTGACCTTCCCTTTCAATTCGGTTTTCTTTCATTTGTTCCCAGACTCCCCAAATGCAAGAAAGGAATTTGATAGCCTGCTAACCTTAAGGCTGGTGATTCAAACTCACCAGCTGCTCCTCAGAAACCCTATGCGGGGTCATAATGAGTCAACACTGACTCATAGGTCACCAGGGTCTTTGGATGGCTAAGCTCTGAACAAAAAGCTTCTGGTCAAGATTTGGGCTTCGAGTAGGGAGGAAGGTGGGCCTGGGACCAGGAGCAATGGCTGCACGGGGCACAGTGAGCTGGTCATTGAGTTCCCAGAGTCCTCTGCTCCCCGCTCATGCAAATGTGTGCTGGGGACTCCACACAGCCTGTGGTAAGCCTCAGGAAGTGCACCAGGGCAACAAAATAAACAATTAGATGGGTGTCCCTTCAGATGACATTAGAAACAGATCAGTCGGGGCCTGGCTGATCTCATTTCCTAACATGTTCAGCAAATTCCAAAGAGGGAAACAAACAAATAAAAACAAATAGCACTTTTGCAAAAACTGTAGGAAACCAGCAAGATGGTCATGTTCTTGACTGATGTGCTGGGAGATCCCCAGGGCAATGCTGCTGCCTCTCTTCCCAATGTACACTATGGCAGAACTCAATGTCCCTGGTGCCCAATGCTCTAGGGGCTACGGCTTCTGAATGAAGGAAGGGTGGTAGCTCCCAGTCAAGTTGCTGCCTATGTGATTACTGTCTGGTTGCACAAGCAAGGACTCTCTTTCCTTGCTTCGGAGCTTGGGCTACCCTTACAAATGTCCCCTACCTTCTTATGACTTCATTGTCACCGATGATATTGAATCCATTGTGTGTTCTGAATAAAGTTTGTTCTGTGCCTGAAACAAAGTCACAGAAAACCACGTCAGGCTTCAGAAAGGTCTGGCTGGTGTCTAGCTGCAGCACAGCCCACTGAAAATGAGAAACCCAACATGGGAGATTAGGGTCACCGAATTAATCACTTGAGCATAAACAAATACTTTTATGTTCTGAACAGATACATTTAGCAGATTGGCCACTCAGTGCCTGAAAAGCGGGACAGACTTGTCCGGAGGAGAGCCGAGCTGCGTGGTCCTGGCCTTACCTGCACAGCTCATCTTTAGAAATGCCCAGAGCTGCTTAACCTCCGGGAAGAGCTGCCAGATCCATCTGCTCTTAAATATTTATTTTGAAGCTATTTCCAGACCCTAGAGAGGAACCTATAATCTCCAAGAAACTGCTGAGAGAGATATTTAAGCACCCTCCATTGCATACTAAAGGAAGCCAGAGACTCCATCTATTTGTACAAACAACATTCTATCACTAAGTAACAAATACTGTTTAGGCCCCGGTATCCATGTTTATGAAAGCTGGTAAAAGGCAACAGCTTGGCTCTCATTAGTAGGAGGAGAGCTGATGTCTGCTCTGAAACGATTTTCACATCCTAAACAGTCATTATATGCATGCAACTGTGGGAAGATGTACATGTTACCCTACAATGTACAGAATGGGCTGGGCCCCGTGTGCCATTCCTGTGGTGTGGGATGTATGTGGGGGGTATGTGGGGCATATGAAGGCTACGTGGTGTGTGCGTATGCAATCTCATTGTTACAGTGTGAGTGCATGTGTGTGGTGTGGTGTGTGTGAATGTGGTATCAATAAATAACGTTGTGAGTCCATGCTGTACGTGTGTACTATGAATACATATAGGATGAGTGCACGGTATGTGTGTGCACGCATGTTGTGTAAGTATACAGGAGTGAGTATGTGGTATGTGTGAGTTGCATGTATGTTGCTGAATGTATGCATGCTCTAGGAGAGGATGGAGCTGGGTTGGGGCTGTATTTTTTGTGCACCTCCTTAGGACTGTTGTTATAATTGATCTTCAATCAACAATTGTGGAAGACTGAGAAGGAGGGCATGGTTGCCTCATGAGGGCACACCCTTACCCCTGCCCCTCTACACGTACATAATAGCCCTGAGACACAGTATTTCTGGCTTACACTCCGTCATCATTTCAGCTAGAATCTCAATCCCTCCTGCGTAGAACAGGGGGATCTGATCAGGCTTGGAAAGGGTCTCCAGGAGATTCTTGGTCGTCACGGCTGTGTTCTTTCCTGACTCCAGCAATTCATGGGCTTCCTTCTCTTGAAGTTCTGCTTTCTCCTGAAGATCTATTTGATTCAAGCAAGCTATGGAAATAAGAATGGGGGTGGGGGGGGAAGCAAATGGCAATAAACAACAATACCAAACAGGAAGCAACGGTTTCATGTTTTGTTTTGTTTTTCCTTTTGAGAAGCTTTAAAATAATCTATGGATGGATTAGTATAAAGTCTATACCCTGGGCCTTAAACTGTCTTGAGGATTCAAGGACAAAGCTATTCCCTGACCAGCAGACCCTGTGGGAGAATGGGATAGAAAACCAAAGACTGGTGTGAGAGAACCGAGCAAAGAGCCTCTGAGCAGGCCTGTTAATACAGACAGGGAAGGCAAGAAGGCTGTTGCTTTGTGACCAGGAGCAGCAAGTCCATATGAAGGGTATCAGCAAGAACATCTCACCTTTCACCTGCAGCTGCAGCTTCGGGTTTATTTCTAAGATCTTCTGATAACTCTCCCTGGACTGGAAAACAGAAACAAGACCTTGAAGAGTGTTAGGGGGCAAAGACGATGACAGGAAGACACTGGTCATCCCCAGGCACGGGGTCTTCACTGTTTCTTCCTCACTTCCCCCTGCTCCCAGAGCAGGAGGCAGGCAAAGGGAACCCAGTATGCGTTTGACATTGTGTTTAGGATTCTCTGGTTCTGTGAGGCAACCGGTCTTATTTCAAAAGTCTTTATTAAAAAAAGAAGAAGAAGAAGTAGTAGTGTTGTCAGATAGTCTGGGATGAAACATTTCCAGTCCTAAATTCTTGGGGAACATGCATGTCTGGCTGGGACAGGAATAATCATAAGGTAAATGCAAATTTTAGATATGGTGTTTGCACTAAGAGAGAACAGGAGGCTACCTGTCAGATATGTCCACAGGGAGTAAGGGAAAAAATGAAGCTAGAGACATTGTTGACAGAAACTTGGGAGCAGGGGAAGTGAACGGTCTAATTAGAGGGGCAGAGACACACAGACAGACAGCAAAGGGTCTTTTGTTGAGGACAGTTAGAGAACTCGGCTCTTGTGGAGGGATTTGCAAAAGATCCTGGCAAAAGAAAGATTCTCATTCATGAGGATTTCTGGGGTTAGGGCAGTGTTGTCCACGGCGACATCAAGAACAGCCAATGGTATAGTCCAATGTGGATCATGTCACAGAGAATAAAAAGAGCAGAAATTTATTGATTCTGAGATACCCAAAGGCTCAAAGTTTGTCTGCATGACTGGGACTAGGAAATGAACTGAAGAAAAAAGTATTACCGAAATCACATGAAAACAGACAACATTGGCACAGGGTGGAAGGGCATATACCAAACATGGTGACCCTGTATCCACCTTCTCTTCAACCTCAGATCTAATCTGTGAGCAATTCCTGTGGGCTACAACATTCAGAATGCCATCACTTCTCACCACGTCCACTGCCACTGCCTTTTGCTTGGATACTTCATTGCAGTAGCCTTCTAAACTGGCTCTCTGTTCTGACCTTGCCCTGCCAAAATATATTCTTCATACAGTAGTCAGAGTGCGCCTTTAAAGCATTAAGCTATATCTTATCGCTCCTTTGCTCAAGACCCTGCAATGGTTCCCAGCTTACTTATTGTTGTTGTTAGGTGCCATCAAGTCGATACGGACTCATAGTGACCTTACCTTAGTTCAAAGTAAAAGTCAAGGTCCTTCCAAAAAGCCTACAAGGTCCTACAGGATCAACCCCCTACCGCACTCCCATCGCTTCTCTGACCTCATGTCCTATTGTTCTCCTCCTTGCTTGCTCCATTCTAGCTCTTCCTCCACCTAGAATGTTCCTCCCTTACACATTCACATGGACCATTAACGTCATTCCCTCCTTTCCTTCAGAGGCACCTTCCCTGACATCTCGGTTTAACACCAACCTTACTTTTACTGCTTCTTGAATTCTTTTACTCAATAACACTTACTTACTCAACACACTATCTACACTTACTTGGTTCCTGTCTCCTGCCTCTCACTCTAAGAATGGGAGTTCCATGAAATCAAGGACTTTGTTCACTGCTACATTCCCACTGCCTAGAAAACTACCTACACATGGGGAGTGCACAATGAATATTTGCTGAATGAATGAATTAACTAAATAAATGAACGAGTGAGTACATGGAATTTGGCAGAGAGGGGGAAATGAATATTTTCCCTTTTCACCTCTCTAATATTTGGCCTTATTAAAATAAGCCTTATTTACTGCTCATTAAAATTCAACACAGGAAAGACTTCTGTGAAATGTACAACATGAAGCAATTTCTTAAATAAAATTAAGTATTTTATCAATGGAAAGACATTTATATTTTTTAAGTTTATGGACTGGAAGACTTAAAACTATTTAGATAACAATACACCCCAGAGTGATCTACAATTCAAAGCAATATCCATAAAAAATACAGCCGACTTCTTCTGAAAAATTGACCCTAAAATTCAGATTTAAGTTCAAGGGACCCAGAATAGTTAGCACAATCTTGAAAAATAAAAAGTTGGAGAACTCATACTTGGCAATTCTAAAAGTTATCAAATTTGTGGCTGTTGTTGTTAAGTGCTGTTATGTCAGTTCTGATTCATAGCAACCCCGTATGTGTTTCCCGAGGAGCAGCTGGTGGGTTTGAACTGCCAACCTTGTGGTTCACAGTCCAGTGCTGATGCTACAGTGCCACGTCAGGAGTTAGTAATGAAGATATGTGGTGCTGTTGTTAAGGACAGACATATAAGTAAATGAAATAAAATTAAGAATCTAATAATCAACACATACCTTTACGGAAAATTGATTTGGGGCAAGGGTGCCAAAACCATTCAATGAGGAAAGAATAGAATTTTTAAGAAATGGTGCTGGGTCAGGTAGATAGTCACATGCAAGAGAATGTAGTTGGACCCCTATCTCACATCTGTATTAAAAAAAAAAAAAAAAGCCAAAGAACAAAGTATAAGACCTAAAATGACAAAATTCAGTAAAAAAGTGCAAACCCCAGTGACCTTGGCTGGCCAACAGTTTCTTTTGTGGCCCCAAAGCACAAGCAATCAAATAAAAAACAGATAAATTAGACTTCATCAGAATTAGAACTGTGTGTGATATTAGATAATAAGAAGTAATGACATGCTGATTTATGTGCCAATATGGATGAATCGTGAAAACATTACATTAAATGAATGAAGCCAGTCACAAAAGACTACATATCATGATTCTATTTATACGATATATCCAAATAGGCAAATATAGAGTTAGAAAGTGGATTTAATGGTTGTCCTGGTGTGGTGCTGTAGGATAAACTAACCATAGGATTGGCAGTTCAAACCCATCAACTGCTCTTTGGAAACCCTATACAGAATTGCTACGTTGGAACTGACTCAATGGCACTTAACAACAACAACAACAACAGGCCTAGGGTAGGAGTTCTGGTGGCACCATGATTTAGCACTCTACTGCTAACCAAAAGGTTGGTAGTTCAAACTCAAGAGTTGTTTTGTGGGAGAAAGGAAAGGTAATCCACTTCCATTTAGGATTTGCAGTCTTGGAGATCCTACAGGGCAATTCTACTCTGTCCTACAGAGTCATTCTGAGTCAAAATCTACTCCACAGTAATGGGTTTAGGTTTGATCAATAGGCTAGGGCTATAGGTGAGGGTCAGGGCAAGGAGAGTGGCTGCTAATGTGTATAGAGCATTTTGGGAAATGATGCAAATGTTCTACAGTTACTTGTGGTGATAATTGCACAACTTTGTGAATATACTTAAAACACCTTTCAATGGATAACTTGTATGATATGTGAATTACATCTGAATAAAGTTGCTATTAAAAAACAAAATGTCTCTGTGTGTATGTGCATACACATGTGTGTAGCTACCTTTGGATGATAAGATTACAAGTTAGTTTTGCTTTCATCTTTTTGCTTATGCTTTGTTTCTCCAGGAATGCTCCTTCTGGGGCTGAACAAATACTGGTAAAAGGATGCTATGGAAGGGATTCCCACAGTAGGTAGGGTTGTTTTGGATGGTACCCAATCATCCTTCCAAATCTAAGATCTGAAGGGTTACCTTAGTAAATCCTAGAGGGTGGATTACTATCTCATCAGCATGGAAGAGCATGGGTCTCCCCTGGACCATCTGAAACTCTGCTCTGTGATCCAACAAGCCACTTAGCGTCCTCTAAGAACTTACCATGCTGTAGTTCTTCAGGGCCAGGTGGGCTTTTCCCATATGGAAATATGCTTTTGTGCATTTTTCATCACACTGCATAAAAAAGGGAAGGACTCATCAGATGTTTTCAGATGATTCGAAGGCATCAGCCAGCCCCCTACCTGTCTAGCTAATAGAGTGAAGTCTGAGCTTTCATTCTTAGGACAGCTATCAGAGTTGACAATTAAAACTTTACTGTGCATCTGTGATCAGACTAATGGATGCCTGCAAGAAGTCTATATGCACACATAAGTTCTCTATCAAATTAACTAATGATACTTACCAGGGTTCATTTCCACTCTATGGGACTCAGTCAGGAAGCAGACCAGAAACCCTGAGTTTGGAAGAGCTCTTCACCTTGGCTGAACAGTAGAATCACCTGGGATGCTGGCTAACCTCTGGAAGGCCAAGCTGTGCCCACACCAATAACACAACACCCTGGGATAAGGCCCAGGTATCGATAATGTTTTAAACACTCTAGGTGATGTAAGTGTGCAGCCAAGTTTGAGAACTTCTGGTTTATTAAAAGAGAGGGAAATTTACTGGCAGTGAATAGCTGATGTTACCATTACATCAAATTGGGCTCAGGATGTTCCTCTCCCAAAATAAACCACAAAGTGTATGGTGGTGGTGGTTATGTGCCACCGAGTTGGTTCTGACTCACAGGAACCCTCTATAGGGTTTCTAAGGCTGTAAATCTTCACAGTAGCAGAAAGCCTCTTCTTTCTCCTGTGGAGATTAGATTCCAATTACTGCCCTTGAAGTAAGCAGCCCAGGCCATAATCCACTATGCTACCAGGAGTCCTGGTGTGGCACTGTGAGATAACATACCAGGTCACAAGGTTGGTTTGAACCACAAGATCAGCGTTTCAAACTCACCAGCTGCTCCTTGGAAACCCTATGCAGAATCGCTATGAACCAGAACCGACTTGATGGCATATAACAACAACAAGCAGGACTCCATATGATGTGTATACTGGGGACTTAACAACATAGTCTTATCACTTAAGGACAATAGGGATGGTCACTTCAAAAGGTAGGACTGAAATCGATGACTGAAGTGCTATTTGCACAGGTGGTCTTGCACCTGCCTGCCGCTAATTATGATAACAGCACTGAGAATAGTCTGGCACACAGACATAAACTCAAATGAAAAACTCTGAGACAATTGGCATCTATTGAACCCCTTTTATGTGTCAAGTCAGATGGCTTTCAGGGGTTAAGAGTGCAGGTTCAGGAGTCTAAACAGTCCTGGATGGATCCCTGCTTGGCCACTCACAGGATAGGGGGTTTTGGTCAGGCTACCCAACTTCTCTGATGCTCCTTTTGCTCATCTGGAATGTGAGGAAGCCAACAGTATCTCTCTAGGGTTGTTATGAAGTAAGAAATGTACATGAAACAGTGCTGGGCCCAGCAATACAGTCTAGACTGCTGCTGTTGAGTTACAACAGTAACCTCCATTTAAGGGAAAAAGAGAAATTTCAAAGGAATGCTAAATAATATGGAAGATAATTTTACATAGGATTGTGGCAGCTATCTACAATAAGCATTGGACTGCAAACCACAAGGTCTATGGTTCGAGCCTGCCAGCTGCTCTGAGGGAGAAAGACGTGAGTTTCTCCTCCCACAAAGATTTAAAACTTCAGGGTTGCTATGAATTGAAACCGACTTAACAGCACTTAACAAGTTTTATATGTGAAGAGGCATTAATAAATGTACTTTTCATATATGTAATTTTCTGATTCACTGCTAATTAAAGGCTGTAATAATTATAATAATAGTTCATAGATCATGTTTGCTGAGGAGTCATTATCATGAAGTCCCCTAAAAGCTTGATGGTTCATATCAACGATCCCATGTAAATTATTAAGCCTCATAACAACTCTATGAAGTAGGTACAATAATGAGCCCCATTTACAGCTAAGGAAATGAGGAATTGGAGAGGTTCAAGGTCCCATATCTAGTAAGTAGAGGAGCTTGGATTTGAAATCTGGCCTTTTGACTCCAGAACTCAAGGGCTTACAAATAACATGAAATCTCCTTCAGAAAGGGGCTAGAGCAGTTCAGTGGGAAGAAATTCACTGTGAAGAAATGCAGTCTAAAACAGGTCATGGAAAGGGGGAGGGATATGAGCTGGATCTTGAATACTATAGGAAAGGTGAAGGGTGAAGGGAGAAGGAAGGAGGGAGAATGGGGTGAGTCAAGTCCTGAGGTGTGAGAATACAAGGGGCTTCAGTAGACAGTCCAGCTGGGATTCAGGGATGAGAGTAAAGGAACAGATCAGACGGGAAAAGGTGAGGTAGACTGTTACTCCAACGGAGGCCCTGAATGTCAGGTTAGAGTAGGGTGAGTGGTCAGTGGGGCATGGAAGGACATTGGTTTGGAGGCAGTGTGGAGAACTGACCGAGGAAGGAAAGGCAGGGAGCTAGGTGAGGGGGGCAAAACAATCACTTAGAACAAGGGGTTAGCACCTGAAGTTGCTGGTAACAAGGGTAGTGAAAGAAACCCAGATCCCAGAGCTATAGTGAAGAAAGATCTTCCCAGCATCAACTAACTATAAATGATGGTACAGGAGAATGTGGAGTCAAAGGTTTGGGGATCTAGATGCCTTATGGCATGGTGTATCAGTCACGGAGAAAGGTTAACTCAAGACAGGTAGTGGGAATGAGTGGGAAGACCAAGAGTTTGGCCGTGGACATACTGAGTTTCAGAGGATGCGAGATAATCAGATGGGACATCTGAGAGGCAGCTGGAATTTAGCCCTGGACTCTGCAGGAGGTGGGGACTGACTGGGTAACTAGGTCCAGGAGTCATTGTGCAGAGATGAGAGTTGAACCCATGAGAGGAGATGAGAACTTTGAGGAGGGAAACTGCAGAGAAAAGAAAGGTAGGGGGCCAAGGAGTGGACCCTGGAGAAGTTACAAAGGATGAGGCTGAGAGAGTGGGAAAGGAAGGGTCTAAGACAACAGAGGAAACTCAAGTACTTCAGCTCATGAGTGTGGACGATACAACAGTGCTACAAGAGGGAGGGGCACCTTCACCCCAGCACCAGCGTCTTGCCCACGGCCTACGGGTGCCATTGTGCAGGGGCATGGTAGCAAAGTCGCTGTCATCAGACACAAAGGGGCTGCTAGCAGATTTTCTCACTAGCAGGCCCTTTCCCCTGTGATCCTGAGTCAACCTCACCAAGGTTGTTCTCTGGGTTAGCCCTAGGTTTCCTTAAAAGGAATCCTGCCTTTGGAGGAAACAATATTTTGTTGTGTCAGGCAGCATTCTGCCAAGAAAGAAAGGATTGCAATAGTAACTGAAATGGGCTTCATTGCTCTACCTTCCCCTGACAAGAAGCATCATCACATGGGTTCATCTCTACTAATTCAAAAGCATCAAAAAATATTGTCATGAAAGTAGTACCATATTTTTATGCAAATAACACACACAATCTACGTTTGTGTGCCCCACCCCATCCCTCCCGCAAGTTATTTTCATAAGTGCCGCTCTGCCAATTTTGTTTGCATGTTTCTGTAAAAAAATTCAACCTAGCTTGCTTACAAAAATATTTCATGGGTAGAAGGGCATGGTTGGAAAAAAAAACTTAGAAGGTGCGTGCTATTTGTGTAAAAATATAGTAATACTATTAATGGAGAGCCAGTGACATTCTCTATCGATGTATTACTTTTAAAGAGAAGAAACTTATTCTAATTCACAGTTTTATATAGGACAACTATTATTAGTTTTTAGAACTCTTTGCTCATTTTCCCCTACACCCCTCTAAACATTTGCCTAAACCTCTTCATCTGGGAGCCTAGCTGGGCACTTAACTGCTGACTGTCAGAGTTTTAAAATGTCAGTTCCATTGGGCCTGCTTTGCCTTGGTTTCACCATTAATTACATTGTGCAGAAATGAGCATTTGGGAGCAGGCCAGTGGGTTACCCTGAATCAGCATGCTGGTATGACCACCTCACTGTTTCTTTTCAGATCAGAAAAGATACACATGGAAGCCCTGAGCGCACACTCTGGAGTTTACGGTTTCAGCAGAACTGCCATGTAGAGTGGACCGTTAAGAGCACGAGTTTGGAGTTAGACCTAGCTGTGTGATGCTGGGCAGGTGGCTTACTTAATCTCTGAGGCTCAATTTCCTTGTTGGAAAAATAGGGATAATGGTGGTACTGAACAGAACAGACGATAATAGGATTGTTGTGAGTCTCCTATTAGACAGCTCATAGCCAGTATGCAGTGAATGGTGGGTTGTGCTGTTATTGTTGGAACAACAAAAACCTCCTTGCTTTTCTCTCTTCGTACAGAATGATGGTCGAAAAAGAAATGATCAAAGAGAACGAAAAAGCAGGTCAGTGGATCTATAAGGAACTTGATGTTGTCAGCTTTGGGCAGCTCTTAGAACTTGAAAGATTATACCATTGTACTGGGACAAGATTTGCTTCCGTAATCACTGCCCCGCCGCCCCCCCCCCGAACCATTTTCTAAGGGGTTAAAAAAAAATACAAACAACTTCAGATGTTTGTTTTAAAGGATCTCTAGCATTGGTGGTTCTGTGGGAGAATTCACACGGGAGATCTTGTACAATTCCTGGCCAACGCACCTGGCATCTGTCAGCTACCGCCCATCTGTCAGTGGAAGCTTGCACGCTGCTATGATACCGAACAAGTTCTAGCAAGGCTTCCAGACAGCACAGACTATGAAGAAAGCCCTGGAGATCTACTTCTGAAAATCAGTCAACGAAAACCATGGTCCAATTGATAGTCACTCATGGGAATGGTGCCTGGGACCAGACAGAGTTAAGTTCTGTTGAGCACTGAGGTCACAGGGACAAGTGTTCCATAAACCATTATTAGTAAAGGTACATGCTGCCTGAGTGGAGCAACTGGTTAAATATCTGCCTACCAACCAAAGGCTTTGCAGTTTGAATTCAACCAGAGGTTCCTCGGAAGAAATGCCTGCTCATCTATTTTTAAAAGGTCGTAGGTACTGAAAACCCTGTGGCACGCAGTTTTACTTGATTCAGAATGGACATGACAGCAACTGGGTTTTGTTCTAGTTACTAGAGATGAGTTTTGAATTCCTATTTCTTCAGCTTGTTGTTGTTAAGTGCCATCGGAAATGACTCGATGGGACCCTGTATAGTGTATCTGAGGAGCGATTGGTGAATTTGAACTACTGACCTTGTGGTCCAGTGCTTTATCCTAAAACGCCTCACAATACAGAATAAGCAAGTGGGTGTGGCCAGCATGTTACCCTGAAAAGTGTGCTCTTGTTCTGGGTCATGTCCACCCACTAAATCACACAGTAACCTCAGCTCACTTACCTCAATTTCACTTGTGAGTTATTTAAAATAATTCTTTTATGTTAAAAGAAACACAGTTTCTGGTGTCCGATGCAGACTACACAAGCATTTTTTAAATAAAACATATATTAAATGCTATGCTTTCTGATTCTTGACCCTGGAAGGGCCCATGTTTGTTCTCCTCAGAGAGCCAATGGTTTCCCTTATTTAGTTCTCCATATGACAGGGTAATTTATTGGAATATGGATTAAGGATGAAGGAGAGTTGGCTGCTAACTGAAAGATGTGGCAGTCTGCTCCCAAAAAGATCACAACCCAGGACCCCCATGGAGCAGTTCTACTCTGTCTACAAGGTCGCTACACCTCAGGACCCACTCCATGGCAGTGGGTTTGGTTTGGATTAAGGATTATTTAAATTCTTAGTTATCTGAAATAATGTCCCAAAAAGTGCAGTGGGTTAATGCACTGGATACCCAAGTCAAGGTTTGAACTGTAAGGTCGGCGGTTCAAGCTCACCAGCAACTCCGTGGAAACCCTATATAGGGTTGCTATGGGTCAGAACCAACTTGATGGCAGTTAACAACAACAACAACAACAACAACAGCATATTCCCCCCAATTGTCCTCATTTCTACCCTCCTCTGATGATCTGTTTTGGCAGGTTCTGGAGAAGATACTATGTCCAGTACTATGCTATCTGCCTGAGACCTGACTTGAACAGGATCAACAGTGGGAATTCTATCTTCTCAATGTTCCTCTACAAACAGGGGATGCTGTATTTCCAAACCATTAGGGCTGGAGGAAAAATGCACACACTGATGGGGAAGTAACTCCTGAGGATGGCTCTCGAGGACACCTTCACATGCAGAAAAACATTGAATCACATAATCATAAAGAATGAGTCTCTGCAAAAAAAAAAAAAAAAAATTACCCATGCAAAAGCAACAATAGCAGAAGCTTCTACGGGGTTCCTTCACTGAGAGAGGCACAAAAAAAAAAAAAAAAAAATTACCCATGCAAAAGCAACAATAGCAGAAGCTTCTACGGGGTTCCTTCACTGAGAGAGGCACTTTATGTGCATTTTCATAATTGTCACAATAATTCTATTCCCATTTTATAAATGAGGAAACTGAGGCCGTGGTTGCAGTCTATACCTATTCTTCCCATGACACATTGGTAGCTTGCTTCTATTCACTTCAGGACTGTCTGACACATCCAGTCTGAGCAAGCCCAACACCATCAGGTAGAAAAAAGAAATACTCTCTTACCTTTAGAGCCCAGTCACAATCCACTAGTGCCTTTTGGTACTCTCCAAGTTTTATATAAGCCTGTAATGACACAAATAGCTGGTAATCTCATGGAACCCCACATCAAGCAGTCTTAAGTCCTCACAGAGCCAGCAGCCAACCAGTGACATGGTGAGGAGGCGTAACTGGCCCCTAACTGGGTTACAATTCTCAGCAGGAAGTATTTGGCACACACAAATACAGCAACTAAGGAGAGTTTAATAAAGGGATCATTTAAATGTGAGCACAGGTTTTACAGAAACTAGTGAAGGATAGCATGGTGCCATGGTGGTGCTGGTGGGCTTGAACCGTAGACCTTGTGGTTAATAGCCCAACGTCTAGCCCACTAGCACCACCAGGGTTCCTGAGGTTCCCATCAGTCACCAATAAAAGAGCCCAAACTACATATAAATCTGCTCAGGATGGACCAGACTCTAGCATTCTTCACAATAAAGCTGATGAGACATTTACATGGACAAGCCCATTATGGGGGGCTGGGGGAGGCTGGGGGTTAGTGTTGTAACTCAGAGGGAATCCAGGCATCCAACCAAAGTTAGCCCACCAATAGATGTTTGCAGTGCAGCTCTTCACTCACATGGAAAGGAAGCTGCAATGCGGTGCTTTCATTAACGGGGGTTCTGTACTAATTGAAGACAACACCCTTTGAGTTGTCTGTTCTATAATGCGCCATCTTTTCCTCCAGGCTCTGGGGTTTCATTCAAGACTCGGAGGATGTGAGGATGTGTCTTTCTAGACAACCGTAACCATCATACCAATACACTGTTCTGAGGGATACAGACAGGCTCTGAAAAGTTGATGGGCTTCAACAATTTCCCTGTTCAGCCTTTTACTTTTCTCTATTCACTCCCTCCGACCCTTCCTTTCATTTTTTCATCACAACACCCTACAAGTTCCCCTGTTTTTCTTTTTTTTCCTACTCTTGCACATTTTACAAAGTAGTTTTTTTTTTTTTTTTCCAAATAGCAATTAAACTCCAGATTTATCTAAATTACACCAGCAATCTATTGATCATAACATTAGCTCCAGGAGAAAAACAAAGCGATCACTGGGTAGGTTTTTGGCAACACTCAATTCACAAGACTCTTATTAAGTGCTTTATAACAACTGCACGCAGACCAGGGAGGCATTTATAAATAGTTAATGGTTCAAATGATTCATAACACCAGGCAGCATATTTTGCATTTATTTGCCTCTGGATAAGCTTTCTGTTTGGGGAAACATGCTAAGAATTACTTCCTCAGAGTTTTTCATTGCATTTACTTGCATTTGTCTACGTTTGTTCTTAATGTGATTTTCCAGGGCTGCTTAAACTTGTGTAGAGTAAAAGTGTGAGTAATTCAGCACTGTATTTATAGTCTGAAATGGATATAAGTCTGAATGACATCCCACTGTAAAGAAATTCAAGTTCACTGCTTTAAATAGCTTTAGAGCCACCCTTGACTCCCTATCGAGCAAACATCAGTAGGTAGATGTTTCTGGAGACCAGATTTGATGGTAAATAAAAAGAAACTACAATTAGTATATTAGTTGTATCTAAGTGATACTTTTGAAGTATCACTAGAAACTCAATTTCCTTAGATTGACCTAATGTGTCTCCAATTTTACATAACTTGTTGTTTTTGTTGTCTTCCAGTCAGCTCTGACTCATGGAAATTCTTCATACACACAAACCCACTTCTGACTCACAGCAACCCTGTTATAGGGTTTCTGAGGCTGTAAATCTTTATGGAAGCAGAAAGCCTCATCTTTTTCCTTGGCTAGTGGAAGCCCTGGTGGTGTAGCGGGGTAGTACTGGGCTGCTAACTGTAAGAGCAGCAGTTCAAATCCACCAGTCACTCTGGGAGAAAGATGAGGCTTTCTGCTCCCGTGAAGATTTATAGCCTTGGAAATCTCATACAGGGTGGCTGAGTTGGAACCGACTCGATGACACACAAGAAGTGGATTTCAACTGCAACCTTGTGGTTAGCAGCCCCATGCTTATCCTACAGTTTCACCAGGACGCCTTAATCTTGTGTACAAGGGGGCTTCAATAAGTTCATGGAAAAATGGCATTAAAAGATAATGAACCTGGCTTCAATGACTAGATGATCAGAGCTCAACCAGAAGAAGATAGAAGAGGAAAAAAAGAAAAAGAGTAATCTGATACAATTTGATGAACTTGACCTGCAGCTATGGATGCAGTAGCTCAAAAGAGGGAACAAATCTTTACAGTGAGGATCATTCCCACCCACTCCATACACAGAGTAGACAGGGATGGGCAACTTGGACATTGGCTAC